GACATGGAACTGTTGGAGCAAGTCCAGAGGGAAGACACAAGGATGGTAAGAGGGCTGGAGCACCTCCCGTATGAAGACAGGCTGAGAAAGTTGGGGCTGTTCAGCCTGGAGAAGAGAAGGCTGCGTGGAGACCTCATAGCAGCCTTCCAGTATCTGAAGGGGGCCTACAAGCATGCTGGGGAGGGAGCTCTTCGTTAGGGACTGTAGTGGGGGACTCTTCATTAGGGACTCTAGTGGTAGGACAAGGGGTAATGGCTTCAAACTTAACCAGGGGAAGTTTAGATTAGACCTAAGGAAGTTCTTCACAGTGAGGGTGGTGAGGCACTGCAATGGGTTGCCCAAGGAAGTTGTGAATGCTCCAGCCCTGGAGGAGTTTAAGGCCAGGCTGGACAGAGCCTTGGGTGACATGGTTTAATGCGAGGTGTCCCTGTCCATGGCAGAGGGGTTGGAACTAGATGATCTTAGTCCTCTCCAACCCTAACTATTCCATGATTCTATGATCTGTTCCACTGCTTGCAGAAGAAACTGCTCATTTCTTTCTGTATTATGTGAATGGGCAGAAGCAATGGAAGGAAGCAGAGCCATGTTTCCACCTCCTGCCATATTAAGAGGTATTATTGATTACTGTACTGGGAAATGTACAATGTCATACATAAAATATGTTCTGGGGAAATAAAATATAGCAGAAGAAAAAAAAAAATGCACTCTCTTTCTGGCTAGCCAAAAAAAAGTGCAGTATATGTGTTTGGAGACTACTGGTGACCAACACAATTAAAAGTCAAAAAGCTGAGTGAGAAAAAAAGCTACCCAAATCAAGAAACATGTATTTTACTACCATGTGTCAGTTCTAGAATATAACTTGGTATCAAAAGATGAACAGTCAAGGTAAAGGCAGCATTCTAAAAATGGGGACCATCCTCTTCCATATATCTGAAAATTCTTAAATGCCATTAGCATTTAATGAACTCCAAACCTCTCACATGGCTTTAGAAATCTCAGCTGACTCCTTCCCTTCTGTTAAAAAATTACACATTTAAAACCTCTTCACTCTTACATTGTAAGCTGTTCTAAAATATTACACAGTTACAATACCGGCGGTAACAGAATAAATGATTATCAAATTAGTCAAAGTTAAAGCTGCAATGCTGTTGTCTACATGGAATGATAACAGTAGAAGTATTAGTCTCCTGGACATTAATGTTGACTTATCAGTTATAATTTCAATATTATAAATGTGCATAAAAACCAGAATACAGAAGGTCTATAAAATAATAAAAGAAAAAATATCAGACAAAACTGAAGCTTCATTTCTATTCACTTCTTAGTAGAATTTCTTATAGAAATGGAACTATTTTACATCTTTATTGAAAAATTTGTAATAATGGGAAATAAATAAATAAATAAATTACAGTAATTAGTAACTGGGTTAATTCTGTATTATTAGGAGTTGTGACCCTGTGGGGGAAACTACATTTTGGCAATATAAAATACTATACATAATAAAAGAAAAATCATGACTTTCAGACACAGAGATTCAACAAAAGTGTAATGATTTCTACTGCAAGGGCTACTAGCAACCTCTGTTATCAAACTCTGTATTACATATTGCCCAGTGGGAGGCAGATAGGCAAAGTCTGTTTACTTATGTATTTGGCATAATTGAAAACAAACAGGTGTTTGTTAGGATATCATTATTCAAGGAGTACCACTGCAAAATAAGATCTTTCAAAGGGATTGACTCGTGAGACATAATGGAAACAGTGAAGTATAGAGCTTAGCTAGCTATACATGACTATCTAGGGAATTAATAACAGTGGAAATACCGTTGATGTAAACAGCAACCCCTGAAATAAATTTCCTAGGATAGAACTCAGAGATGAGAGTAAGAGGGTAAAAAACAAAACAAAACAAAACTAAAATAAAAAAAAAAAGGCTTTATTTGGCATACTTTCCAGAAAACAACAGCTCCCTAACAGTGAAATGAATGAACTGTCTGGATAATTTTTTAGGAAATGACTTCCAGTCAAAGATTGCTATTTTGGTCAAAAGGGAATATTGATTTTAACAGTATTTCATTGTTACTACATGGGTTAAAACCAAAATCAAAAAACCACTGCTTGGGAAACGTGACATGGGACAAAATATTCCTGGAGCACCTGGAACCAAATGCAGTTTAAACTGGTAATTTCATTTCCAATTTGAAACACTTCATATGTTTTGTTAGTTCACTATGTATTTGTAGATTCCTGATTTGAAAGTAGGTCCCACATTTATATTATAAAAGCAGCAGCTCTAGGGATGACATTCATAGCCTTCAACATAAGAGAGTTACATGACGGTAGAGAGGACCTCTATGGAACTCTTTTGTCCTCATTTCTGGTTTTAATGAATAAAATCAATTAATTATTTTAGTAGGCTAGATAAGCCTTAAATGATTAAAACTGCTTTCTAGTTTGAGTGCAATTTTCATAGAGAGCATATGCAATAATGTTAATTCAGACAATGTAAAATTTTTTCTTTACAGAGGACAGCTATGAACATGGAACAAATGCTGCTGTTCACCCTACTTCAGCAAACAGCAATTATTACTATGTCATTCAGCCACAGGCTTCTCATCTGGCTTGATTTCAGAATGGGCATCAGTGGTGCCACCAATACAGTGTAAAACATTCTGAGAAGAATCAGTTCTGCTGCTTCTTCAGAACTTAAGAGGACACATTTCTACCCCAAAGTTTTGTACAGGAAAATGGCTGACAGCAGTATCTATTGTTTCAGTTTGTCTTTGCTATTTTTGTTAGGGTAGCATTTTACAATTTAAAACAACCACTTGCACACAGTTTTTTCCTTTTGTGAAAAGACTTCATGTCTATTTGCTTCCTGACACAATCAAATGATGGCATAACATAAGACTTCTTTTTTAAATCACAGTTGTGACCAGGACAGAAAAGGAAACACAACTTCATCTTCTACACAAAATGCAGAGTGCACAACAGTACTGGATTCCAAAAAAATCACTCTCACTGTAGAAATTTTGACTGTTTCTGTAGAACATTGTAATATAGGTATTTTTTAAATTACTGTTTTAAAATATACTTTGAGGATAAAGAGGCAACTAAAACCACTGAATTATCTGTTGACATTACTTACATATGCTTATAAACACCACATTTACCTTAACAAGAGCTACTGAGAAAGTTTACATTTTTAGGGGGCTTAATTCACATTAATGTGCTTTTGTCACAAAACAAAACAAAACAAAAAAGAGCCATAACACTAGCTTACTTGTGGATGTGTATACTAGTGAACTGGGGGCACTGTACACGGGAGATCCCTCCTGGTTTGCCTGGCACAGCAGCACCCTGCCTACAAGAAAGAGAGAGAGAGTGGTATCTGGTTTTGGAACACTTGTACTAAACCTCAATTTTTATCTCAAAACAGAAATAAAGTCAGAACCAGAGCAGTGCAGTGAAGCTGGGACACTTTTTGTCCTTTGACTTCAAAGCAGAAAGAGCCCCAATAAACATGTAAAATTTTACATTTGAAAAAGCAAAACACAGACATCTCCCCAACTATGGACGCCCTTTTATCAGAGGGAGAAGCTGGCACAAGTTTACAGCACCCACCAGTTCCCCCCCAGCTGCTCTCCCAATCTCTGCCCTGGCTCTCCCAGACACAGGCTGCCACAGTAGCTCTGGGACTAACAGGAGCCACCAGCCCCCACTCCACCCCCAGCTCCTCTCCCTACCCTTGCCTGAAACGAAAGGCCACTTGACAAAACACAGTAGATAAACCAGACCACACAACTCCCATGTACAGATGTTAGGCTAAGTACAATCTCAGTTATACGGCTTAAATTAACAGTGGTGGCAAGCAATTACTAATACATGTGAAGATTTCAGTGTTTTCTGCCTGAATAAGAAATACATAAACATAAGTTACTTTCCAGTACATAAGCTGGATTCTGGATTAAGAACAAAACCAAATAAAAGACCTAAAACTATATTTTTAAGAAAAAAGTAATAACCAGATCAATTTAAAACAATACTTTTGCAATGCGTGTTCATTTTGAACAAATGACAGATGTTTTGGCTTACTGCCATTGCTTTCTGCTTGTTTGTTTTTTAATGAAGATAAATAAAATGCCATGTATTTCAGCATCTTCCTTAAAACTATATTTTAGCAGTCTTAGCTGAATACAGATAGAGGAAGAAACAACTATACTTTCACTAGGAAAAACATTTCTGCACTTCTGGAATACAGCCCACCAGGAAAAGCAGGATGTGACACATAGGCTTTGGCAGATACAGGTATATATACCTGTATACACACACAAAGAATTATATATAGACATACACAGACATACTTCAAGCTGTCAGGATTTGTGACTCACGCAATTTCAAAAATATTAAATTTACATGAAGATTTGTGAGACTTTAGAAGTTGTGCATTGACATAAGCAATGTAACTCAACAGAGTTGAATCAAATACGTTTGGAAAGAAAAGATTAATTGCAAATGGTAGGCATGCTTTCCATGTAGTAATGTAAGAGCAATTTTAACTTGCATTCAGTTACCAGAGTTCTTTCAAAATATATATATATAAAAAAATCTATCATTAACCAGTTCTTCAATTATTGCTTGCAGCTGCCATCTGAAGTAGAAATACAGGAAAACCAGAGAAAAATAACCCTTGTAATTTATACAATTTAGCTGTGAGCACTGGAAATGTCATGAAGTATTAAGCTTCTAGCCTTCCCAGACAACAGCATACCCATTAACTAAGAGGATTTGGAGAAGCTTGGGTTTTTTTCCATCCGTCCACTACTAATCGAGAAGATCAAACAAACTAAAAAAATTTGGTTTCTTCCTTACTTTAAGACAGCACATAATTGACTATACCGATAAACCAATATCCATCTCTCAGCCTTCCCCAAAAATCCACAACTGGAAGCTGTTAAATGAACATTTACCTACTGAGATCCTAAGGGTACGCATAATTTTTAGGCTAATGATGAACAGAACCTATCAACACACTCACCTGACACTAGGAAGGCGTATATTGGAATATGGATGCATTTTCATCATAGATGCTTTAAAACTTCTGTTACTACAAATGCCTGAAAATGAGAGTGAGCTGAAGACAGAGGCGCTCATCCAGCAGAGCCGAATGCACAAAGGAATCACTAAAATCAGTAATTTTCATTACGTTTTAAAATTAATGTAATTATAATGACTTCAAGTAGGTTTAGTAAATATATAAAGGTTTTTAGAAATTTAGGATTACAGCTTAGTTATACTATTCCACGTAAATTCCAGATGACAATTCTCTTGTTCCATGGTCCATAGACCATTCCTATTTTTTTGCAGCTAACATTCTTACATTTTTTCTGATTTCATCTCATACAAATCTAATTTTCCTTACTCTATTCTTCTAATTTCTAACAAAAGTACTTCAAAACACATGCTTTTTCATCCATGCTACTAGAGTGTATTTCATCTGTTGCATACTTCTCTATTTTGACAATATGCTTTCAAATTTGTACATAAAATTAATACTAATACCTAAACCACTATTGTAAGACTTTGTTAGGAAAATATTGAACTTTTTAATCTACTTTTGTGATGAAAGATTATTTTTGCTGCATCCAATTTTGGTATTAAAAATATTTAAATTCTAAT